GAATGTTGAAGTGGGGAGATTAATGTCTCTGTACTGACTGACATGCATGGCATTCCCTTTTGAAAAAACAATGTAATACACTGTAAAGTTATATGTAATCCAATGTAATATAAAGAAGATTATGATGATGATAATAAAAGAAATAAAATAAAATAAAATAAAATAAAATGCTAAAAATAAATAGTCCTTTGATACAGAAACCCTTTTTACAGGTAGTATAGCACAATGGTTAAGAGTATGGACTTGAGGCTAGCTCTGTAGCGTAGCAGTTAAGCACAGTGCATCAGGAGCTGGATCCCACGTGGCTGGCTACAATTCAAATCCTGAACCTGGCAGCCTGAAAAATATGCTAGGCACATGTGTATGCATGCTCCAAATCCTGACACAATGGAGAAATGGATGAGACAGGATTGTGGCCTGACCATGCCCTGTTGCAAGGTACTCTCTCTCTCTTTTCCTTACCGTCTCTCCCTGGTGAATACTTGTGTCCTCTGGAAATTAAAAACAAAAGAGAAGACTCTGTGATAAGACTGTCTAATTTCAACTCCTAGCTCACTCACTTAAAGCTCTGTGACTGTGGGCCAATTATTGCTCTGTGCCTCAGTTTTCCTAGTTGTAAAATGGAAATAATATTGGGTTTTCAGAAAAATCATGATGCATATTTGCATAGAAAAGCATAGAAAAAATACATCATGACTTTTCTGACAACTGAACAGTATCATCTCCTTTATAGGAATATTAATGAGAATTATCTTAATATGAGCATGGCATCTCAGATAACACCTGCAACACAAGGGTAAGTTATGGCTGTCACTGACCAGCCCCACAAAAATTTTGCAGACCCACTTAGTTTCAGGCTAAGATACAATAACCCAGAAATGGTGCAGCTAGCAATGGTCAAGCCTGGGAATCCCTGCCTGCTATCAATACAAAAGCCCCAGACGGAGGGAACTATTCTCTCAAATTCTAGTCTTCTCCCCAACTCCAAGGATGACTGGATTTCTTTGTTCATGTTCTCTCCTCCAAGCTCTGTCAGCTCTGCAGCTGTCCTGTGTATTCTACTCTACATTCAAGTGAAGGGAATACAAACTAAAAGTCTGCAGAAAGAAAAAACGCTGCCACCTTGTGGCTGTGCAGAGAATTGTTCTTAGCATCTTTCACCACCCAAGTGTTTTTGTCTTCGGATCACTATCATCCTCTGCAGACTGGAAACTGCTATAGCTGACCAGATACCAGCACAAGACATAGGGATGAAGAGCTCTTGGGATAATCTGGCAGAGTGTCTTCATTTAATGCTAAGGACAACTGAGCTCTAAAGATAGGAGGGACCTGTCTTAAATCGCAGCCAGTTAGGCTTGTGGATCTCTTGACCCTGAACCAATGTCTTCTTTACCTTCAAGGGATGGAGTTTGCAAACACAGCTTGGAATTCAAATGCTCTTCAAAAAATCAAACTCAAGTCAGTGGTTCTCTGTACTGACACAACTGCAAAACCACAGGCAGGGGACATCTATGAGGTTGCAACTGCTGAGGGTAACACAGGAAATGTCACCTCTTTTGTGCACTCAAGCAAGAAGAGACAAAGCATACAGTTTCATGCTAAAACAAAACTCCAATTACTTCTTTTTATTTCTAGTTGATGAGCTTATTCTTTGAGCCCTAGGTTTCATTTCAAAAGAACAAGAAATATATAGGACACTGCCAAGGTTCTATGCAACTTTCAGAATTTCTGAATTCTTGCCCTAATGCCACTGCTTTAGCAAGATCCAGGCATCTAATTCCTTGTGTGTTTGTACTGACAAAAATTTTAATGGCAACATTTTCCCCCCCAGAAAATCTAGTATTTCAAGCTTTTATTTATTGTTTATTTATTTATTTTTAATTTTTACCTCCCTTGGGAAAAAAAGACTATAAAAACCTTTCACAAACTAAGCTGTAGCACACTCTGCCTAGATATTTTAAACGTTCTCAAGAACAGCAACAATTGACATAGTTAAGACACAAAACTGGCCTTGTTCCCAAACTGACCTTATATTAAGCCAAGACAACATGGGCGTCGTGCCTCCACCAATGATCCAGACAGTGAAGAAGACGATGAGGAGGGTGGTTGTGAACATCATCTGGCGAGCATAGGATGCTGTGTCACGGATGGCCAATGCGAATGCCATTGCTCCCCTAAGGCCTATAGGGACCAAAGAGGAAGATCTGGTTATAAGGAGAAATGGCAATGTTCCTTCAAAATCTACTGCTGCCACTTGGGAGCAATAAACTCTATCCATTCATGCTTCAGAACAAAGTTGTTTTAATCAGAAAGAAGAATCTTAGAAGTGTATGATTTTCTATTTAAAGATGTCTTTTGCAAAACCCCCAAATACAATGAGAAAAAAAATCATACTAACTTATGCAGTACATTTTAGAATAATACTCTTGAGCCACCCTTGTAGGGCAGTTGTTCAGTGCTATGAATTGTGAACTGGATCCCACACTGGTAAACACAGTTCAAATCCTGGCCCTGGAGCTTTAAAAAACATACCAGGAGAGTATGTGTACCCAAATTTCTGATGGGAAGGAAGAATGAAGAAAAAGGGATTATGATGTGACCACACCCATTTGGGAAATGATTTCTCTCTCTCTCTCTCTGGCAAGCATATGCCCTGTAGCAAAATTGAAAAACATGATGTAGTTTTCCATAAAAAATCCATCATGACTTTTCCAATGACCTAATAAATTACCCTAGAGTCAGCTATGTCATCAGTCAATAATTAAGCTCTGAACGGATGCTGTCTCTGTTAAGAAAAGAAAATTTGAGGGTCAGAGAGAGGTAATGTATATGATTGTGTGATGCACATTGTTCTTCAATTTATTAGGTAAACACTGTAAGCAATATGAAAGTGAAACTCCTCATATTTCATAGCCTTAAAGAATGAGTTCCATTCAACAGCTAGTTTTCTCCCAGCATAGAATAAGTTGAGATATCTTTACACAGCATATATACTTCTCAGTATTTTAGTACAGAAAGGACAAGCAGAATATAGGAGGGGTCTTCAGAAAGGTCATAGAAATGCACATTATGGAAAAAAAACTATGCATGATTTTCAAATTTTTGCACCAAAATAAATTCATATATTAATTCCATGTTCCATAAACTTTTTGAAGCCCCAGTGTATTTTCAGCTTCCCTGGATGATTGAACTATCTGCAATCATCTTTCTCTTGTCCACTGGCATTTTCATAATGTGTAAGTAGGAGTTTGTCACCACCCTGCTCAAGCTCTAAATGTTTCCCTGCTGCTCTTGAGTAAAGCCCAGCATCTTAAGTTATAAATGTTTCCCTGCTGCTCTTCAGTAAAGCATCTTTAGCACATCTCTGAAGGGTCTGTGGTCAGCACTGCAGAACACCATTTCTCAGAGTGTGGTTCTCAAAGCAGCAGCAGCAGCAGCAGCAGCAGCTAATGTATTAAAAATGCAAATCCTCAGGACCCACCCCAAACCCCAGAATCAGATACTCTGGGAGTGGTGCCAGTAATCTGCACTTTAAAAGCCCAACAGGTAATTTTGATGCAGGCTAAAGGTTGAAAACCACTAGTTTGGATGCAATTTCCTTTCCATCTACATGTACTGCATGTACCCTCCACCCCTCCTTTTTTTTTTAGTTTTGATATAGGGCATGTCCACTCACCAGAGAGAGAAAGAGAGACAGAGAGAAATCACTGCCCAGGAGGGATGGCCACTCTGCAATTCCTTCTCCATTCTCCTCTTGGGATTTGGGGCATGCACATACACATGCCTGGTGGCCTGCAGCCTCTCGCAAAATATCACTCTGCTGTCTGACATTTTGGCCAGACTGCTCCCCTTCCCTGAAAAAGCTAAGCCTGGAAAAGCCTGTCAGCCTTACCAACTTGCTTCCTCCTGAACCTGTTTCTTTCAAGCCTGGTTGGAAGGCTGCCCCCTTTCTGAAGATGGTCCTGAAACCTCCTCTTCTGGGCCATATATTTTTCACACCTCTTTCGTGAAATGTGCCATCCTCTCTTGGGAGAAAATTAGCTCTTTGGGCCTCTGCCTTCCCACAGGGGACTTAGCTTCTCAAAGAAGGCCGGTCTTTGTGTACTCCAAAACCTAGAGGTTGTGGAGGCTTATGCAGAGGTTTCTCAGTGCATGTTTGTCGGAGTGAAAGCAGATCACTTTGGCAGACTGCATATCTAAGTGCAAATGCAAGTTCTAAGAGCAGAGGGGTGCTTTCAGTATGACTATGTGAGAGCCCCAGGAACTACTACTGTGTGGTAGTAAAGGCAGTCGCTATTTGCTCTGCCTTCTTGCATGGCTCTCTCCCTCCCCCACACAGGGCAGATGTACCTTCTGAGGTCATGGTGGCTTTTTGTGTCTGGTTTATGTAAAGGCTGGTGCTTCCTACCCTCACTGTATCAGCTGCTCCAGCCAATTGCTCCCACTTTTCTTTCTTTATAGTGCTCTCTCCACATCTTTCTTTCTCGTCTTTTGTCCCTTCAATGGCTCCTCCAGACTTCTCATCTTTACAGTACAAAGGGGGGCATGTGGGAAATTGTAAATCAAGCAGAACTGTCACAGCTGGGTTTATCTTGCTTATGTGAGTGTATTTGGTTTCTCTTGCTCCACAGGATGAGTTAGGAGAGATCTCAACTAATTTGTTCAACTTCATTATTTTATAAGAGAGGAGTCTGCAGCTGGGAAATGTTGAGTGACTTGGTCCATGTTCTTTCTTGTCAAGAGTTATTTTCCTTTTTATTTTAGGTCTAGAGCCCTTCTGGAACTTTAAGAGTTATGAACATCTATCAGAAAACAATCAAACACTTGAAATACTTATGAGAAGGTCTTCAAATATTCATTGAAAATGTGTAATATAAAGAAACTAGGGACCAGCAGTTAGCATAATGGCTATGTTGCTGGATTCCCATGTAGTCAAGTGCAGTTTGAGTCCCAGACCCAGTGGTTTAAACTTACGCCAGGCACGGGTGCGCATGTGCCCAAGATCCTGAGAGGAGAACGGAGGAGAAGGGATTGCGGCGTGGCCATCCCCCTGGGGGGTGATTTCTTGCTTTCTGTCTCTCTGTCTTATGCATGGATTTCAATTTTTTTGTATCACAATAAAGTTGAACTTAAATTCCATTTCCCTCAAACTTTTCGAAGTCCCCTTGAATATATCTCCAGATCCACTGGGTGGTAGGGATAAAACAAGGATGCAAATATTTTAGGAAGGAATATTCATATTTGATAAGATGGTTTGTTTGCAAAATCAGTACTAACTCTGTTGAATAGGCACATCTGTCTCTCCAGCATTGCTGGTGATACTAAAGGGTCAGAAATTTGAATGTCTGTTTTCTTATTAACCATATCAATTATATTTTAACCACACTATCACTGCTAGCTGAATAAAACTCATGTTATTTTTCTCTATTTTTACCTGAGAACATCATCATGTGTTGAAAATTCCAGCCAATTTTATGCCTTCTGCCCAAGTTGAGGAAGAAGGAGAGTGGGTAGATATGTGCAGCTCTGCCCAAGAAGATGGCAACCTGACCAGCAGGTGGAGGTTAAGGGCCCAACAGGTTTCCAGACTTTCCAGCATTTTTCTAACATTTAAGTAGGAGTTTGTCATCAACTTGGTCATCAAGCTCTTCCTGCTGCTCTTTAGTAAAGCCTGGTCCTTCCACATCACTTCTGGTTGAGCAGAAAATTTTAGGAATAGCGTGTGTGTGATGGCTTCATTAGGCTCCAGAGCCCGAACCCAGTCTGTCTGTTTTTTCTCTAAAGTCTCTAAGCAATAAAGTAGGAATCATTTGGCCAACTTTTTCTACCTCCTGGTTCATAGAGTTAATTTCTAACCTGGTAAACACCCTATTATAACTTCTTGATTTAATTTAATTAATACTGACCAATCTGCTCATATATTTAAAAATGAGTACAAAAACAGGCTAGCTAAAGTACCATGGCAGGAGTGGGGAGTTGAGAGCAAATAGTATGTTTGGTTCTACTAAAAGAAAAGCTAGAAGAAAAAAATTATTAACCCTAGGGTCAAACTATGAAGACAAAGTTTGCTGGGTAAGTGCATGCAAGCTTCACTTGCAAGTAAACATCAGGGACTCTAATGACCAGGAGGAGCCTGCAGATATGAGGTGGGAAAACAAAGTATTGAGGAATCTCCAGAAAGTCCATGAAGAATGTGTACTATGAAAAAAACTCTGCATAGATTTAAAATATTTTTGCACTAAAATAAACTTGTACTTTAATTCTATTTCTCTGCAAACTTTTTGAACTCCCCTTATATTCAAAAAAGTATGAGACATTCAGATCATTCACACGAATCAAGCAGGGGATATCTGACTACCCACATAACTAAGATTCTTTTGGACATGTAAGAAATGGAAAAGGAAGAGAATGGAAAAGGAACTCTGCTATGGAAACCAAAAAAGAATTCAGGGAAACTGGTCATCCATCACCCGCCGGGTTTAAAGCAGTGTCGAGCAGAGAGAGTTGCACACCCTCCTGGTCCGGAGAGGAAGCTGGGGGCACAGGGAGCTTCCGTTTGGGCAAAGCCCCAGCTGCGGGAGTTGCAGCTGTTTCAGACAGAAGCCAGGCTGCAATTATAATATCTTCTTCCTCCTCCAGGGGAAAGCAGTGACTTTTCTTCTGTTTTCCTTTCTTTTTGTTTTGTTTCTAACAGAAGGAAACAGGTAGTGCTGATAAAGCACAAGTCATCCCAGAAGCAAAGCAAAAGTCTGCTTCAGTGGTAATCAGCAGCATTTAGGATTTACAGAGAAGCCAGCTCATCCTTTGACAGGCCCTTTTCTATACACAAGGGCTGTGCTTGCTCTCTCTCTCTCTCAGGATGTCATGCTGGGAATACAAATCAAAACAACACATAAGGTCTTTCAGAGTGAACCATTAAAACACAGATCCTGCAGATTTTAGCAATTAGGGTGGTGAGTGTGTAAATCCAAGAAATAAGTCCCCAGTCTGAGCATATGGCACTTATTAGGAGGACTCCAGCACTGCACGAGCAGCTCGATGAGTGTCTGTCATTCCTACACAATAAATGAAAAGCCCAAAAGAGAAAAAACATGCCTTTTTTCCAGCATGCTGAGACCTAAGGATACCCAGGAGGCCTCATTAAATGAAACTGAACATCCAGCGACAGGGGATTTCTGCTCAGTATCTTGAAAACAAGCCCCAGAAAAGTTCACTTTAATGAAAAGAGGGCATGTGAGCAAAACCCTCTGCTGCTGATCCACTGCCAAGCATTCACAACCCTCCTCACTTGAGGAAAGCCAACCCCAGAATTGTGTCTGTCTTCCAAAAACTGCATTTACAATGGAACTCAATCAAGGAACCAAGTGTTTTTCCATTTTATCTTTGTTTCTTCTCTTTTTTCTTTCCGCTGTAATCTGTAGCAGCAGGAAAGCTTGAATGAAACATTGGCACTTCCTGCAGACACCCCTGCATGGTGTGTGGACAGGATGCCCACACAAGATGAGTGTTTGAGAGCAAGGAGGACAGGAGGACCTTTGGACCATCCACATCAGGGAACCTCCTGGGTTGGAATTCATGTGGCAATGAAATATCAAAAGCAATTCTGGTGACTGACCTTGTTGCTGATTTTTAGATTTACCAAAAAAGGCATTTCACAAAACAAATTACCATCTGCCAAGCACCAGATTAATAGGAAGGTCATCTTGCACAGAAGATGCCAAAATGATGATCTTAGGATAAATGCCAATCCTTTAACTTAAATACATTTAGTTTTATGAAACATCACTTAAATCTTATTTTTCTCATCGTAAAACACCATGAACTAGACAAGTCACCCCCCAAAAAAAACCCAAATAATAACAGCAATTATTATTACAGCTATTATTATTCCATTTTTATAGAAATAATAATAATTATCATTATTATATTCAGTTGTCAGGAAATGACACATTTTTTTGCACAGAAAACCATAGAACAATATGTCACGACTTTTCCAACAATCTAATAGCTCCCCCGGAAATGGTGTCCTATCCATGTAGAAAATGGTGGAACAAGAAAAGGATACAAAAGCGCCAATAATGAAAATGGGGCTGAAAACATGCTTCTGGAAGGTAAAGAGCGCCAGGCCCATGTAGGAGAAGATGAAGTTCTCTGCCAGGAAGTGTAACACCTCAAAAAGCTGCATATAGAAGGAAAAGGCAGCTGTTAAACCTGCAGTTAACCCTTCTTCACATTAAAGGCAACTCACAAATAGAACAACGCTCTCTCACCTGCTTGGTTCGACTTCTTGATTCCACTGACAGATTGTTGTAGGTGTAATGAGCTTGTGTGATGCCACAGAAAAGGACAGCTACAACACCTGCCAAGAGATGAAAACAAAAACAAAACAAAACGAAAAATCAATGGGAAAAAGGGCAGAAAAAAAAAACCCAAAAAACAAAAACTCCTGCTGGTACAAAAATATAAGGTAGGCAAACCTAGTACATTCAGCTTCGTGAAATTTTTTCATCTTCTTTCTATTTTCTTTTAAGTTTTTGCTATAGTGTACATGCACTTGCCAGAGAGAGAGAGAGATCAAGAGAGCAAGAGTGAGAAATCACCCTCTGAGGAGATGGCTACACCACAATCACTTCTCCTCAAGTCTCTTCTCGGGATCCTGGGCATGCATGCACACATGCCCACCATGATTCTCAAGCCACCACGTCCAGGACTTGAACTGTGAAGCTGGCCATTTGGGATCAAGTGCCTTAACCTCCGCACCACCTGCTGGCCCCCAATTTCTTTTTAACAACAGGATATTGCTGTGTCACAATCCTCCTGCCTTATGGCTGGGATTATAAGGGCACATAACCAGCCCTTAAGTTAGATCAGGATTTGAACCCAGGCCTCCCATGTGGTTCTAGCCTACAGAGTGCAGCATCTTAGCAGAGCATGCCACAACAGTTGGGACTTCCTGACATTTTTCTTTTTTTGTTTTGCCAGAGGTCACATGTGCTCACTAGAGAAAGACAAAGAGACAGAGAGTGAGGGAGAAGGAATAAGAGAAAGCACCCCCGAATGGGGCATAGTTATGCTACAATCCCTTCTCCTCTCTAGCTGGCCACATAGGATCCAGATCCCTTAACAACTAGGCCATGGGGCTGGCCTTTTTCCTGAATATTTCTGAAAGTTTCCTGTTACTGAAAGATCCCCCTGTGCCTAACTACTTACAACAAGCTTTCTTTCTCCCAACACTATCTTCCAAGTCAAGTATCCCAACATTCTCCCTTGCTCCAGTTTGGAGGGCATTATCACCCCTCCTTTAGACACCTACTGAACTTATCCTCTGCCATTGGCATATAGCATTCATCACCCCAAAGAGCCTATGAGGGCCCATCATACACTTGTGTCACACTCTCTGTTTTTAGAATGAATGCATTTAATTTAAAACCAATGCTTTATATTTTTGCAGAGTCTGGAGCTTCTGACAAGTTATATCAAGAGTACTAGTCCATTTATTCAAGCCCTGATGATCTGGATTTTTGGTGGACAGTAACCATTTTGTTGTACAAGACATTCCATTTAACTGGGACTCTGTCTATATATTTACAGATACTTGTCAAATTTTAAGGAAGTGGGGAATTTGGTAACATTGCATATAAAGATATGTTGCACTTTTGAAAAGATAGTTTTGGGATCAGCAGATGGCATGGCTGTTAAGATGCTGGATCCCACATGGTTGACTTCGCAGTTCAAGTCCTGGACCTGGTAGCTTAAAAAACACCCTAGTCTGGGATCAGCAGTTAGTGTAATGGCTATGTCACTGGACTCCCATGTAGTCAACCGCGGTTCAAGTCCCAGACCCGGTGGCTTAAAACTCACGCCAGGTGCATGTGCGTGAGTGCCCAAGTTCCCAAGAGGAGAATGGAGGAGAAAGGATTGCAGCGTGGTCATCCCCCCTCGGAGGTGATTTCTCGCTTTCTGTCTCTCTGTCTCTCTGGAAAGCGCACATTCAGATCCCAAGTGTTCACTGAAAAAAAAAAAAAAAAAAAAAAACAAAACACCCTAGGCATGTGTGCATGTGCGCCCAAAATCCCTAGAAGAAAAGACAGAAGGGATTGTGGCAAGGCCATCTTCCGGCATGATTTCTCACTTTCCCCCTCTCTCTGTGTCTCTCTGGTGAATGCATACACCCTTTGGCAAAAACAGAACAAAACAAAAAAAGATAGTTTTGAAAAGATGATAAAGTACCTCTTAACTACCCAGATCATGTACAGTACTTGTACTTCAGTTTTATCATGGGCAAAAAAAGTGATTTTTTTTTTAAATGAGAGAATATAAGGAACTAAAACCACATAATTAACTAAACTGATATTACTATGTACCTGGCACCCTAAAAATATGGTATTGAAAAACAGTGATTGGGAACCAGCAGTTGGCGAAATGGCTATGTCGCTGGATTCCCACATAGTCGACTGCGGTTCGCGTCCCAGACCTGGCGGCTTAAAACTCATGCCGGGCGAGTGTGCATGCATGCCCAAGATCCCGAGAGGAGAGTGGAGGAGAAGGGATTGTGGTGTGACCATCCCCCCTGGGGGGTGATTTCTCGCTTTCTGTCTCTCTGTCTCTTTCTGTCTGTCTGGCGAGTGCACACGCCCTATAGCGAAAACCTCTCCAAAAAACAAAACAAAACAAACAAAAAAAAAACCCACAGTGATTAAATAACCCAGAGACAAAACAACAAAAAGTTATATTCCCACTCATCTGAGTGGATACAAAATTACTTTTGAAAGGGCACATATTTTGCTTGTTGTTACCATTTGTAAAATAACATAGCAATCGAAGGGGGATGTAAATAAGATTTGAATATATTTATAATCTTCGCTGTTAAACATGTACTTCCATGAGTACTCAAACTAGACCTGAGTTTGGAATAATAAACTTTATCTTCTGAAAATAAAAGGGGACTTCAAGAAAATTTATGGAAAAATGGAATTCAAGTGCAAGTTTAAGGTCAGATCATAGCACACTGGTAAAACACAACTCTGCAAGGTTGACCCATATGGAAACGTTCCAGATTCATAACCAGAGAACTCCTTGAGTACACAGGGCACATGAGTGCCCATGATTTGGTACTGGCTGAGGCTGAGGGTGAATCATGGTATCAAGACCTCATTGGGGGTGCCTCTCTTTCTTACTCATGGAAGAAAGAAATAAACTTTTAAAAATTAAACAAAACAATAAATGTAAAATTTTATTTTGGTGCAAAATCAATTTGGAATCCAGGCATAATTTTTTCATAATGTGCATTTTCCAGGAACTTTTGGAAAGCCCCAGACCTTGTATGTAGTTTCTGGAAACAAATAAATTTGTTAAAACAGCATTTAAGCTTTGCCCACCCATCTTCGAAATGGACACTCCTTGAGCAATCAAATCAGTGAAGATGTTATCTGTCTAAGCATTTTCCCCTCCCTTCAAGGTTCTATAGCTCTCATAATAAGGGCAACAGTAGTCCACAAGCAAAAAGAACTCACCTGTAAATCCACAGGCTTCTGCCAGTAGAAATGTGCTCCAGGACATGAGGAAGAAGAGCGCTGTCTCCAGCAGGGGGAAGCAGTGCAGCTTGGTAAACTTGGTCACGTGGGCACCATGTCAAGGATTGCTTTCCCAGGCCCAGGAATTAGGCAGCAAGAACCATACTGTTAGTCTGGGACCCCTCCCAGAAGGTGAGCTTTTCCTGGAGCCCTAAATCTGCTGCATATTTACTTACTTATTTATTTTTAATTGCCATTTCTGACCAATGCAGGCATTTTACATCTTTTAAGGTATGGGTTTTTTGTTTTTGTTTGTTTATTTGTTTGTTTGTTTTTTAAAGCACATATACAGTGTGCAATAATCAAATCAAGGGCAGAAGCATATCCAACATCCCTAACATTCAACTTCACACTATGTTATGCACACCCAAAGTTATCTTACTATATTTTTGGAAGTATATGTTACTTTGTCACCAACATTCATTACTGGACCATGGTACACAATTCCAAAACCTATTCTGCCTGTTTATATGCACTGTTGTATCCTTTAACCAGTTTCTCTCCACTGACCCATATCCTCCCATCTAGCATCTAATATATACCATTACTTTGCTTCTAATCTATTAAGTACTTTAGCTTAAAGTAATAAGTGATCAAGTTTTCCAATAGAATAGAGCTGGGGGGTTGGGTAGAATAAGGACAGATGATGGGATGATTAAAAAAAGTTCTGGCCTTAGATAGTGGGAGTGGTTAAATATCATCATGAACATACTCGATGCCCCTGAATTGTACACTTAAAAATGGTGAAATGGAATTTTTTTTTTATATGAGAGGGCTTCAGAAAGATTGTAGAGGGTCAGCCATTAGCATGGTGGTTAATGTGGCTGGATTCCACATGGCTGACTGTGAAGTTCAAGTCTTGAACTCAGTAGCAAGGCACATTTGCATCCATGCCCAAAACGGAGAATGGAGGAGAAGGGATTACATGTGGCCATCGCCCCACCCCCAGGAGGAGACTTGCTTTCTCACTTTTCCCCTCTCTGTCTTTCTGGTAAGCATGTATGTGTTCCCTATAGCAAATTTTAAAAAAAGTTTGTGGGAAAAATGGAATTAAAGTATGAGTTTATTGAAGTGCAAAAAAAATTTGAAATCCATGCATAGTTCTTTTATAATAAACATTCATCAGGATTTTTTCTGAAGCCATCCCATATACATAGTTACAATGATTTTTTAAAAATTAGCCTATCAAAAATATTGACTTATATACGTTAAGTGAGTGCCTTGTATAGTACATAAATTATATCTCAATAAGGTCATTTTTAAAAATTCAGCTTTTGCAAGAAACTGTCAACCAGTTTTCTGTGCTCCTTATATAGTCCACATATTACAGTGGTGGCCTCAGGTATGACTGGTAGGTTAGCTCTGGCAGGGCTGAGAGTGCCTCAGGCAGGCCTAGAAAGACAGGCCCCCAAAGATCCTGAAGTCTGTGGGCCACTAAGGCCTGAGTCCACAGTAGGTGCTAATGAAAGCATGGGAAAGAAAGGGAAGGAAAAGAAAAGAGGAAAAAGGAAAAAAAGGAGAAAAAGGGAGGAAATAAAGAAAGAAAGGGAGGAAGAGAAGGAGGGAATGACAGAGAGGGAAGAAGGGAGGAAGGGAAGGAGACAGCTCTCAGCACAGCTACCAGGTGTTGGTATCACCTTTGGGGCCAGAGGTCCCCTTCCTACTACTGCAATTAGATACAGGGCCAGAATAAAACCATCTCATGAGTAATTTCACTGAGCTATTTAAGTCCTTTTGACACAAGATGGCCTCTGTGAAGAAAGCAACCTAAGTCTACACTGTCCACACAGTTGCTGTGATCCACATGTGGTTACTGAACACTTAAAAGGTGACTACTCCAAATTGAGATGTGCTATGAGAGAAAAGCGTGTAATATGTTTCAAAGACTTAGCACACAAACCGAATACATAAAATCTCACTAATAATTTTTTTTTGGAGAGGTTTTCGCTATAGGGCCCGTGCACTCGCCAGACAGAGAGAGACATAGAGACAGAAAGCGAGAAATCACCCCCCAGGGGGCATGGTCACGCCACAATCCCTTCTCCTCCATTCTCCTCTCAGGATCTTGGGCACGCACGCACACGCGCCTGGCGTGAGTTTTTAAGCCACCGGGTCCGGGACGCAAATCGCGGTCGACTACATGGGAGTCCAGCGACATAGCCATTACGCTAACTGCTGGTCCCTCACTAATAATTTTTATAAGAATTTCTGTTAGTGTTTTCTTAAAATAACATTTATTTAATTTTACTTATTATTATGATTATTTTTCAGTTTGCTATAGGGCATGTGCACTCACCAGAGAGAGAAGGAGAAAGTGAGGAAGCAAGCCACCAGGTCTGGGATTTGAACCACAGTCAGCCATGTGGGAGTCCAGCGCCTTAACGACCATGCCACCTGCTGGCCCCTGTTAGTGTTATTTTATACTGATTGCATGTTGCAGTGTTGTGGTTCACATGATATTTATATTGCCTATCAGAGAAGATATGATGGAGGACTCAGCACACCTGAGGAAGCGTTGTCCGCTCTGTTCACACTTTGCTGTTTTGATTGTTGGTTGGCTGGTTTGTCTGCTTACTTAAGATAAGCACTGTGCTGCTCTTCACTTATGACAGGCTACCGTGCCCTAGCTCCCACTGATAGTCCCAGTCAGCTATGACCACCTGAACACCATATGGCCCTGAAGAGCAGATAGTGGCAGCGATCTCAGGCTAAAGTACTTCCCAGTTGGTGGTCCGAGATTTCCAGCCTCTTTCTGGCTCCTCAGCTCTTTCCACTCCCTAAAATTAGTACTCCCCCTCCCTCGTCTCTGAGGATCCATCTCCAAGTGGTTCATAAGAAAGGGAGAAAAAAAGTAAAGGTGAGGACAGAAGAAAGTCTACAACTGAACTGCCAGACTCTTAGCTAGGGAACCAACTCTCCTGTTTCACAAAGGGACACATTTCAGGAGCTATCACACTGTAGTGGACCAATCTATTTAAGATTCTGATTGAAAGTAAGAACTGGGAACTTTCGTGTGTATATGTGGTGTTTTTGTTAGACAGGGTCTCACTGTGTCACAATGCTTCTACCTCAGCCTCCCATGTAGCTGAGACTATTAAGTACCACCATGCCCAGCTTTTAGGGTGAGTTGGGAATCAAACCTGGGCCTCCCATGGGGCCTCTGCCTGCCAAGCAGCAGCATCTATTGCCTGCCACTACAGTTGAGCCCTACGAGCTTCCTTTTTGAAAGGGTACATATCCCCAGGTTGAGGCAGAAACTATGAAAAGGATATTAGAGCAGTCACAACGCCAGTCACAGCTCCCATGGTAAAAGAACCACTAAATATACCTAGAAAAATGCCAACTGACTTGAAAAAGGCTGCAGCATCAAAAGCATGTGTGTTCAAACCCGCTGGCTGGTAGGCAACAATAGACCTGGAGTTTAGAAAGAAGAGATAGTTTAAAAAGACTGTACTGGTCTTACAGCATGGTACCTGATAAGGTCAATAACCATAGGTATTTACACTCTGCCAAGCATTGCCTAGGGCAAACTTATTTAATCTTCAGCCACAATACACCAGTGTGGTCATTCTCTACTGAGTAGACAGAGCAACACAACTTTATCAACAAAGTTTACAAATCTCATCCAGAAAGATGCCCTATTCAATATTTAACACTTTTAGCCCACAGCATGCAGGAAACCAGTGTCTCCCTTCCCCTGCACAAACAGTGCTACTTACGAGGATAGGACAATGGCAACGGCATCATTCAGGACACTCTCTCCAAACAGAAGTGCATAAAGATCCACATCTGCATGCAATTCATTAAATATTGCCAGCACTGTCATTGGAAAATGGGTCAGAAGCATAGAAGTTAGTTTTTCTTTCTGATCTTATATTACTGATTACGCATTTATAGAGTCTATCTCAGCTTGGACCAGGAAATTCTGGAGACAGCAAGGGAGGGAAAATGGGAATCTTCTTAATCTGACAGAGATTTAAGATGATGCTTGAGATGTTACAAGGTGAGTGTCAGGAAGACGGAGCTGCAGAGAGACCATAGCTCACATCTTCTGGTATGCCTTTGAATTCTCAGATATGTTAACTGGTATGTGGAGTGTCCCACTCTCCCCCCTCAGACCCCCACACCATTGGAATACCCAGTTCCAGCGATAGGGTATCAGGGAGATGAAGCTGCAGAGAGATCACAGCTCACCTCTTCCTGCACGCCTTTGAACCTCAGTTAAATTCTCCACCTAAGCCCCAGGTACACCTGGTCCCAAGACTCTGGGGAGGAACCAAGCACCTCAGGCTGGCTATATACACCATTCTCTGATTGGAACATGGGGCCCACTTCAAAGAATACATCAGAGAAGTAGAGTGTATCTTTCCCCTGACATTACAGAATTAACTCCAAAAAATTAGGAACAAACATATAATCCATCAGATGACCAGAAACCAGGGCAGAGGCACAAGAAATATGAGAAACCAAGAAAATATCTTTCTATCAAAGGAAAATAACAACTCTTCATTACTCACAGACAGTAAAATAGAATTCATGGAAATGTCTGATAAACAATTCAGAATTTCCGTAATGACAAAACTAAATAAGATGCAAGGAAAAAGAGACAACGAACTCCAGGAGATTAAGAAGAAATCCTTCCATGATTTGAAAGAAGAAATAGACACCATAAAAAAGAATCAAACAGAATTATTAGAGATAAAGGTATAATATAGGAAATCTAAACCTCCCTTGAAACTATTAAAAGTGGATTAGACCATGCAGAACATCAAATCTCAGATCTAGAAGTCAAAACCTCTGACCTAGAAAATATCATCAAAAAGAATGAAAAATAACCCAAAAATGAAGATAATAGATGGGAAATACTAGATACTATTAAACACCCTAACATCTAAATAATTGGTATCCCAAAAGGAGAAGAATCTAAAAACGGCATTGATAATCTATCCCATAAAATGCTGGAAGAAAACTTTCCAAACCTAGAAAAGTATTCAAACATTCAAACCCAAGAAATACAAAGGACCTCAAATAGAATTAACCAAAGAAGATCCTCTCCAAGGCACATCATAGCCAGATTGGCAAAAATCACAAATAAACACAAGATTCTAAAAATGGCAAGAGAGAAATGTCAAGTTACTTACAAAGGTTATCCCATCAAGCTAACACTGGACCTGTCAGCAGAGACAATGCAAGCATGGAAAGATAATATGTAAAATATTAAAAGAAAAAAACAATTTCAACAAAGGTTATTATACTTGGCAAGATTATCCTGCAAATGGGAAGAAAGCATAAAAATATTTTCAGATAGGGATCAGCAGTTGGCGTAATGGCTATGTCGCTGGACTCCCATGTAGTTGACTGCAGTTCGAGTCCAGGACCAGGTGGCCTAAACTCATGTTGGGCGTGTGTGCATGTGTGCCCAAGATCTGAAGAGGAGAATGGAGGAGAAAGGACTGTGATATGGCCATTCTCCCTGGGGGGTTATTTCTTGCTTTCGTTCTCTCTGGTGAGCACACGTGCCCTAGAGCAAAAAACAAACAAACAAACAAACAAAAACCTCTCCACCAAAAAAAAAATTTTTCTCAGATAGATAAAAGCTGAATTTAACACCACCAGACCAGTTCTTTTTTTTTTGGGGGGAGTCCAGCAACATAGCCATTACGCTAACTGCTGGTCCCCACCAGACCAGCTCTTCAAGAAGTAGTGAAGGGAGAAAACCAGCAGTTAGCGTAATGGCTATGTCGCTGGACTCCCACGTAGTCGACCGCGGTTTGCGTCCCGGACCCGGTGGCTTAAAACTCATGCCGGGCGCATGTGCGTGCGTGCCCAAGATCCAGAGAGGAGAATGGAGGAGAAGGGATTGCGGCGTGACCATCCCCCCGGGGATGATTTCTCGCTTTCTGTCTCTATGTCTCTCTCTGTCTGTTTGGCGAGCGCACACACCCTATAGCGAAAAACCTCTCAAAAAAAAAAATAAGTAGTGAAGGGAGTACTATACCAAGAAAACTAAAGAGAGACAGACATAAATAACAGAACAAAAAACAACCTAGCATAATGGTAGGGACAAGTGTGTATATTTCAACAATATCATAAATCAAATGGACTTGACAGACATATAGAAGCTTCCACCCCCAAATTACAAAATATACATTTTTCTCACCTCCATGTAGAACCTTTTCAAAGACTGACCACATGATATGGCACAAAACAAGCCTTTACAGATTCAAAGACATAGAAACTATATCGAGCATCTTCTCTAATCATCATGGAATGAAACTTGATATTAATTTCAGAAAAAACCTTGAAAATACACAAACATATGGGAACAAAACAATCTACGCCTGAATGACTTCACAACTACTGAAGAACTTAAGACTGAAATAAAAAGATTCATCGGAATCAATGATAATAAGTACACAAGTTTTCCATAACCCATGATACATAGCAAAAGTAGTCATGAGAGGGAAGTTCACAGCAATTAATGCCATAAGAAAAAGATGGAAAGGCAGCAAATGGACAACATAACACCACGCCGCAGGGTGCTGGAAAAACAACAACATAATCCAAAAATAAAGCCAGGAGAAATATAATAAAGATTCAAGTACAGGGACCAGCAGTTGGCGTAATGGCTATGTCGCTGTACTCCCACATAGTTGACCACGGTTTGAATACCGGACCTGGTAGCTTAAACTCACACCGGGCATGTGTGCGTGCGTGCCCAAGATCCCAAGAGGAGAATGGAGGAGAAGGGATTGCAGCGTGGCCATCACCCCTGGGGGGTGATTTCTCACTTTCTGTCTCTCTGTCTCTGTCTTTCTAGTGAGTGCACGCACCCTATAGCAAAAACCTCTCAAAAAAAATTAGAGCACAAATAAATGAAATACAAAATAAACTACACAGATAATAAATGAAATCAAAAGCTGGTTCTTTGAAAAGATAAACAAAATGGACACACCATTAGCTAGAATAATTAAGAAGATAGAAAGGAACTAGATATTTCAAATTCACAATCAAACAGGCAATATTACAACAGACATAATAGAAAAACAAACAAGAAAACCTGAAAGAGATGGACAAATTCTTGGACACATATATTCTACCAAGATTGGATCAGGGAGACATAGAAAGTCTAAATAGACCTATAACAAGCAATGAGATTGAATCAGTAATAAACTCCCAACAAAGAAAAGCCCAGGTCTTCACGGGTTCATGTTTGAATTCTACAAAACTTTTTTTTAAAAGAACTATTTATTTATTTAATTCTGCTTGTTATTATTATTATTTTTTAATATGACCAGAGAAAGAGAGAAAGGGAAAGGAAGAAAGCAAGCTGTCAGGTCCAGGACTTGAACCATGGTCAGCCATGTGGGAATCCAGCACCTTTACCCACCACACCATGTGATGACCCCTCTAAAAAACTTTTAAAGAAGAGCTAACCCCCACTTTTTAAAAGAATTATTACTTAATTTTATTTGCTATTATTATTATTATTATTTTAATTTGACCAGACAGAGAGAGAAAGAGAAAGAGAAAGTGAGAAAAAGAGCCATCAGGTCTGGGACTCAAATGGCCATTGGCCACATGGGAGTCCAGCACCCAAACCACCAATAAGCCACCAGGTCCAGGACTCAAACCGCGTTGGGCCGTGTGGGAGTCCAACGCCCTTAAATACCACACCACCTACCAGCCCTCCTCCCCCAAATTCATTTTATGAAGCCTCCATCACCCTCATCCCTGAAACAGAAAAAGATATCACAATAAAGGGAAACTATGTACCAATAACTCTGATGAATATAGAAGCAAAATATCACAACAAAATACTAGCAAATCATTTCCAACAACATATAAAAAAGATTATACATCACAGCCAGCTAGGCTTTATTCCAGAGATGGAAGGGTGGTCCAACATATGCAAAACCATAAATGTAATACACCATATTAACAGAGAGAAAGATAAAAACCATATGATCATTTCAATTGACGTAGAAAAAGCATTTGATAAACTATAAAATCCCTTCATGATTAAGAATCTCAGTAAAATCAGCATAGAAGGAACACTTTTCAGCACAATAAAAGCCATTTATGATAAAACTCACAGTTAACATCATACTAAATGGGGAAAAGCTGAAAGCTTTTCCACTAAAAACTGGTACAAGACAATGCTGCTCACTATCTCCCCTCCTTTTCAAGATAGTGCTGGAAGTTCTAGCCACTGCAATCAGAAAAGAGAACAAAATGAAAGGCATTTAAAAAGGGAAAGAAAAGGTGAAATTACCCCGATTTGCAGATGACATGATAGTATACATAGAAGATCCAAAAGATCCATGAAAAAAATCCTGGAAGTGATAAATGAATAAAGTGACAGGACACAAAATCAACATACAAAAATCTATACCATTTCTATATATGAACATCAGGCATACTGAGGTAGAACTAAAGAAAGTAATCCCATTTACCATAACCACAAAAAATATAAGATACCTAGGAATAAATCTAACCAAAGAAATCAAAGACCTCTACAAGGAGAACTATGAAAACGTAAAAAAAGAAATTGAAAATGACACTAAAAATCCCATGTTCCTGAATTGAAAGAATTAATTTAATTAAAATGGCAATTCTACCCAAATTAATCTACATATTTAATACAATTGCAAACAAATTACCAGAGACATTTTTCACAGATGTAGAAAAGACAATCATAAAATTTGTCTGGAATCATAAAACACTCCATATTGCCATAGCAACCCTGCACAAGAGTGGAGTAGGAGGCATCTCACTGATCACAAACTATATTACAAAGCTGTGATAATTAAAACAGCATGGTA